TCTATTGCTTAGTTTGACTTCTACTTCCTTTCAAAGATCGATGTTCTGTGAATTGTACAGGTAAACTGAAAACACTTCAGTTATGCTACAGGGAACAACTGTAGTAAACAAACAGGCCACGGTACGGCTTCAGTCCTAATGAAATCTGACACTACACTTCAACTGAACAGGTCTATGTAAGAGTCAGAACAGGGAGGCTAAAGTTTTTTCTACTACCTATCAATTTAAATGTAGAAGCATTTTGTTTTTACGTGCATCTCTAATTAGATGGGCCAAACCTATTTCATACGGAGCAGATTTGAGATTTTTCTTATGCCATAAATTCTGTACAATGTATCCAGATTTGGTTCTCCAGAGGAGAAAGGGAAGGGACAGGTTGTCACCCGCAATTTTCAAAAAGTCTAGTTTGTAGTGCTGCTTTTCCTGGCAGTTAGGTTTTGAGATTATCACGAGTTAGTTTCCATTATCAAATAGAAATAGCCTTAAAGTTTAAAATCACGTGGAGCCAGAATTAAGTGAAATGGATGTGCTTTTAAAACACCACAACAAATACTGAGGTATTGCAGAGAGGCTGTTAAAGTGAAAAATCTTATTTTGGTGCTTACTGCACCCCTGACTTAGCCTAGCATTGGTCTGTTAACAATGTGCTGTGAAAAAAAAGAACTGAGGGGCAAACACTTGGTTTACTTACCAACATGGTTTGTGAAGTGAAAGCTGAAGGGAAGGGGTTGGGGGTGGGGGGGCAAATTAAGTTGTAAACATTTTGACCTGCTTGCATGGATTTTCTTTAAAGATTGATGTAAGAATTTTGACTTTTTATATTTGAGAAATACCAGAATAAAATCTAAATTAGTCCTGTGGATGATGTAGTCATTCCATCGCAAATACTGCAAAAGAAGTGTTTGTGCAAGAGTCTTCAATCCCCTGTAAAATATATTCAGTTTCAGCTAATGTTCCGTACTTCTTGCGTCATCCCTGCACTCTAGCTTCATCTAGCCCTGTGGAAGAGCCCTCTGAAGAGCTTATCCCAGCACAACTGCCCTAGCTCACTGTACAGCGCTCTCCCACATAACTGCTGCCCGTACCGATGAGATTTCGAACACTCTACTTCCTTTCGTTATCTTCGTGCCTGCCAGTTGCAGCACAGACATGTATTTAATGTCTGTACAATAACAGTGAGAGCAGCTGCATCAAATCAGACCAAAGGTCCACCTAGCCCAGTACCTCATTTTCAACAGGGTCTGGAGGAATTAGTAACGACAGGACAGTAAGTATTTGCCTCAAGTGCCCCCATCTACCACCATTTGTGGCTCAGGATCCTCCCCAGCCAGACATAGGTTTTTTGTGCTGTTAGAAGGAATGGATTTCTTTTCCTTGAACTTGACACCACACACACCCCCCCTTAGAACACACGTCTCTAACACCTAGCCCAGCTTGGAGAGCACTGCCAGAGCTCAGCCTGCTGCTACAGACCCACCTCCTCTTGCCTTGTTTTTTGAACCTGCTTCCTTCCACGTTTTGACAGTGAGCAGTTACTCTGTTCCCCCTCTCTGTATGACTTCTGACAAGTAGCACAACCTGTCTTTGAATAAGGCAGGCAAACATCCACAGCAACTGAAGAAAGGAAAAATACCATTAGAATCACCTTACCATGTCTTATTCTTCTGAGATTAGCCCGCCTTTAATAATTGTGCACAGGGTGTAAGACCACAGATGCCCCTCCATAAATTTATCAGTACCCATCCTAAGCCTTCAGTGTTACCTATAACGAGTAGCTGATGGGAAAACCACAGCAGCAGTACTTCTGAAGGCACAGCAGGTATTCAGGCTGAGATGAGCACACCTGCTACAGCAAACAACAACTGAACATGGCACACGAAACCTTTCAGATTTGTAACTGACCTTGCAAGCCTGTCTGCAGAAATCACAGACATCTGAACTTGGGTACCTGGCAGGCAGGGAAGTGCAGATGAGGCCTGAACCAAAAATACTGCTTCACAGCAGCTCTGAAGACAAGAGCCCAGCCTACACCAGAGTATCTGAAACACAATTTTGCAACAAGTACTCCAGTCAGAGATGAGTTTCCCATGTGAAATAATTTATATTTTCCTTCTTAAAAAAATAATAAAAAAAATAATAAAAATCTTTCTGTTACATGCCACACTTGCATTAATCTCTTTATCTGGGAAGGCTCATGTGGTGTGATACACAGAAACCGCAGGTACTGTACCTGTACAGTGCTCTCTACCTTGAGGAGGATTCTGGAGTAGTCAGTGTCTCAGTGACAGGCTGATCAACGGTGACAACTCCCTAGCAACAAACTGAGCTACCCAGATGAGTCCTCTTAGGGTATAATCCCTCTCCTAACAGCTCATCCAGTGGGTAGTGTTCAGCTGACCGCTTCCATCACCGCCACCCTTCAAATCAGAGCAGTTTTTACCCTTAGTTTTCTGCCCTGTGGACAAATAGAAAATATTTCACACCTAACCCCTTATCATAAGTGTTGAGGGGAGTTTACAAAAGTAAGCGCCACAGATAAAGCAGTTACACTGCCTGATGCCACTCTTCTAATGTACTTCAGTGCAACGTAACAATTGGATATTTGCTATAAAATCTTCCTGCACACTTTGACAGGAAAGGTTGCAATACACAGTACAAAATACATAGCAGACGTAATTATTGCTATGCTCATAATGTAACACGGTTTAGCAAAGCTTAATACATTTATCAATTTGATTGCACTAGAAGTTGTCCAAACTGTGCACTTGAGTAGGAAAGTCTTGTACTAAAACAGGCAGATTTAAACACAGGCAGGGGAAAAAAAAAAAACAACACCCCACATCCTCTGAGCTTGTGGACCAGAGCAGTCCCCTCTGATGGCTTTAGAACAAAGGTGTTGCTCTTTTCTCCCCATACAAGGGGGGGGGAAGGCCACAGCAATTGGAAAGTGAGTTGAAAGAAGTTATCAATGCTTATCTTCCTTATTTTAACAGATGTTAAGAACTGTTAGGAAACGCTGTTGCACAGTGGTGGCAGCCCACTACAGTTAAATGAAGCTCAGTGCCTATGTAATGAATAATCACTCTTCCTTTTATTTCAGTGCCACATTACAGTCAAGACATGTTATTGACAAAACCTACCAGACATTTTACTTTAAGAGTAACTCAAAAAAAAAAAAATCCCAAGAAGGAATGTACATAAATCAAGACATCACAGTTTTTGATGTTACTAGTCCATTAAGGTGTTTCATAATAATGTGTTGGAAATAAATACACTTCCTTGAAAGCTACAGAAGCAACCTGTCACTTGGTTTAGACTAAAGTCAGCTAAGATACAAAAAAAAACCTGTTCCATCCATTCCCAGTGGCAATACACTTCACACCTGTGACAGAACACGGCTACGTGTTAAGAGACCACCACTGAATGGTTATGCAAAAATGAAAGCCTTCCAAATCCTCCTCTTGAGCTAAAGGAAACTACCGCAAAAGTATTTTGCATGTCTGGTTTTAGAGCCCGTGTGATAACCCAGGCTCAACAGCTACACAGTTACTATCCAGACACCAACATACAAAATGCAACGTCGCCGCTCTCGCTCAGAATTTCAGGACCTTTGACACGTAGCACCAGTAACGCTAGAGGAAACCCACTTATTTTAAATTTACTGTAAATTTATCCAACGGACATCCACTAAAAATGGGGATAACACTAACACTCCCTAAAAGATAGCTGCATTTGCTAACCAGCTGTAACAGTAGGTGTAACAGAAGTAACTTTGAGTTTCAGATAGAGGCTGCGAACATACACCTGCTTAACTGAGGAAAAAGTTATATCTAACTGGCTTCAAAGAATTTAGCCAAGAAGTTTCACACATTCCTCAGCGTAAGATAGCATGAAATTCCCAGCTTGGCTTTATACAGGGCTCTTAAATAATATGTATTTAACTTTTAAACCTGATTTAATATATATCATCAACTTTCAAAGGATTAAAATATGCCTGAATAGACCCCGCAACAAACAAATTTTAGTTTTTAGGAAGCCCATTTAAAGTTTCCTTCATTACAACTATCATTTGAAAAAACTCTAGAGTTTTAAAATACAGTATTTTACCTATCCCTTTACACCATTAATTTCAGATATACCATCACAATGGACTCATACGTTCAAACTCAGACAGCATGGACTTTAATAAAATCTCAAATTTCTTGAGCTAGTTAAAAAAAGAACCTAGACACATACTGGCTACTGTGCACTCAAGCGGTTCTATAATCCACTTTATTCAGTTACTAGCAAATGGAGGCAGAGCATTTTTTTCCATTAATACATTACCAATATTCCATCAAGAACTTTTAGTTTTAATTGCATCCTCCGGTTAGCTGCCAACTCTAGCTGAGTTTTAAGCCCTGAACATACAAATACCTAGCCATCTGCTAAATGGCCTCGGATCTGGATCCATCCCACCTAGTTTGAAGTTAAGTTGTGTGAGTGCCAGCTCAGGTCCTGTTTCTCTACGGAAGGAAGGGAAAGCCACTTTCAAAGGGGGTGCTTAGGAGGGTCTGACTGCCCTCCGGGGGTGCCACTCCTCCTTGGACTAGAGACAGAGCTGAGGAAAGCTGTATACGTAGTGTAAGGTCAAGCTTTAAGAGGTAGGTGAAGCGAGTCCAGGGTCTACTGCACAGCTCGTGTATTCTCAGCTGCCCACCACAAAAAGTTGCCAGTGTTAATAGCACATATGGGATGTATGCCAGCTAAACCCAAACACATGCTCAATTTGTAACGAGAAGGCAGGGTTAACAGTGGTTACCCGCTCTGACGAACAGCTTGTTACAAGCCCCGAATGCAACTTTGGCTTACATTCAACACAGAAACTGCTTTTAAAACATTTTGGGGTTTTTTTATAGCTTAGTCTGGTGAAAAAGTTGAATTCTGAACCAAGCTTCAACCATGTTACAAAGAGTACCTTGAGGGACAATACCGGTTACTAACCACTGAAAGCACTGTCTGTTGGAAAACATAGTTTTAATAGATATTCTTCATCTTACATAAGAGCACAATAAATACACCACATTCTATAGAAATTTCAGATGACACTAGAGTAAGAAGAGGTGAAAGAGGGAGTATACCAATAGACAACATAACCATACCGCTGAATTGCATGACAAAACACCCCCCATTGCTACCACTGCAAGCCGCCATTCATACACTTCAGGCTGGCCTCGCCAAGAGCTTTTAAGCTTTTTTTTCCCCCCCGTGAGGGAGAGGGCTTGGGGAAAGGAAGAGAATAGGGGTACAAGAAATTAAGGGAAGCAATAAGATGGGTTCCCAGAAAAGATGCATACACAAAAAACAAGGATGAGAAGGAAGTTTTTAATCACCTCCCTTCCCTCCAATAAAGAAGCTTTGTTGCCGTTTAAGCAGACCAGTTGCTCAAGCAAGTAGCTTAATAAGGCTTGTAGAAAAAACCAGTGGTATGAGGCGCTAGCTGTAAGTGGTTAAGCAAACATCAGTCGAAACACAAGCTGGCTGTAACAGTGGTTCTACACACTAGTATTTCATGTTAATAGAGGGCAGGAATTAAAGAAAGTAGAAAACCGTGTAGCCTAACATCTGATGACAACCAGCAAAGAGAAGGTATGCAGATACTCATAATTAGTGCTGCCGTTTGCTCTCTTATGGTTACTTCCATGAAAATGCATATCAATGCATTACTAAAATTATGGTTACGCTGGTTACATCAGAGACTTGTTTCTAAAAGTCACTCCAAATGCAATTTCATATTAAATTGGCCAGGTAAGGTCACCCACATAACACAAGCTAATAAAAAAAGTCAGCAAACAGAAGCAAAAAAATCTTACGAATTCCACCTCTTCACTGTGTTATCTGTCAGACTGGTGAAGACAAATTGTCAATTCTGGTTTCAATTTTTTTAAATACGATTGTCACATTAGAGAAATGAAAACACAGCAAAATAAACTGTACAAAGGCAAAGTAGAATAACAAAAAATATTTTACTAAAACATAAGATTTACAGGAGAGTTTCCAGACAAGCCATACAAAATGGTCACAAGCTTTTTCTTGGAGGGATTTTTCTACACTTGACAGCAGAATCACAATATTATTAGTGAAGGTGATGGATGTTTAATGTTCCCATTTTTTGTTCAAACAATGAAGCTTGTCCATCTACAGCGTCTAAGTTAGACTGGGCTAGAGGGTATATTCTAAAGTATAACTGGTTAGCTGCTTTTACCAATGCAATTAGCATCACCATAAAAAGGGAGGAGGAGCCCACAAAATTAAAACAAAAAGCCCCACAGCTAACCCTGCCTACCTTCATTCACAGTGCTTATACTTAAACCATGATGGGAAAAATGATTAAAAGCAGAGATGTGCTGCTGCTTTTAAACAATTTCACAACAATCCAGATGATACTTCTAGCCTCTGCTCATGCGGTACAATAGTGAATTAGGACAAGACACAGATTTGCTAATGTGCATTTAATCACCAAAGGACTGAAGATGTCTGGGCTTTTATTCTGTAACGTTTCTAAGACTGTGTCCATTAAATGCAAACAAAAAAGGAAGAGGTCTTGGCAGAACAGGAGAAGTGATGCACACTTGATGTTCAAAGCGCATTTAAATATTATTCATGGCATATAGCCTAGTCCATGCTCTGGCTGTAAAGAAAAAGAAACGCATTTAAGAGAAGATATATTTTTCAGGCTTTATTGAAGTCATTTTAAATAGTTATTTTTAAAGATCACGTTTATATCGCTGCTGCAACTATACAAAATATATCAGTTCTGAGATTTTTAAGTGCAATTTTCAACTCCTATAATACACAAAAGTTGACAGTTGCTGAAGTGGCCTGACTGCAGTGGATCCAAAAGTGAAGAGGCATAATGTAATTCTTTCAATCCATTACAGCCTGCCACAGAAGCAGGTATGGAAGAGATGTACTTTCTGAAATTAGATAATCTGTTCTTTAAGCTTTACAGAAAAAGCAGTGGTGTGTACTTTTATTTTACCACGAGTTCAAATTAGACGTGCTTGCAATTTAGGAACATGAAAACTCAAGATAAAACAGATCAAGACAGTACTTTTCTTCCAGCAGGTCTCAGACTTGAAAATAGACCACCACAGGCACATTCAGGGTACTCAGACTATGACTGCATACAGTAATTGTTTCTGCCAGTTGCAGACATAAAACAAGAGGTCAGGATTTATATCCCCCAACCAGTTAGTAATCAGCTACTTCCTAAAGCTAGGAAAAAAAGTGTAAGATACATCACCTGTTTCTATGGCTTGGGCTTCATTGGTCTTCCATTGCTCAGCTACATCATTTGCTAGTGGATCATCTGGATTGGGAGCGCTTAACAAAGCCTGGATTGATAGCAGAACTGTACGAATCTGCAAAGCTGGGGACCATTTATCTGAAGAGACAGTTATAGCAGTATGAAACACCGTATTCATCATAATCTACAGAAAGAGCAAATTTTCCTCTCCCAGACTAAAGAATAAGCAAGGTATTCTTTAAACAAATGAAAACTCTTTTTAGGGTCAATCTACAAGTTTCTGTACTTAATAACATCAAAAGAAAGAAAACAAGGTAGCACTTACCTTTCAAAATATCTAAACATATTCTTCCCAGCTTGTCTACATTAGGGTGATAAATTTTGGTCATGAAACGTACTTTAGGAGCTGCCATTGGATATTCTTCTGGAAGGAATAGTTCAAGTTTAAATGTCCCACCCTCAAAGGGGGAATCCTGTGGACCTGCAATGACCACGTGAAAATAACGTGCGTTGCTTTCATCTGGCTCCGCTTTTATCCCAGGGACTGGCTCTGCCAGCAAGCGCTGGGTTTCCTAGAAGAAAAAGAAGAGGCAATGTAACAAATACAACCCATTTAAAATAAACATGACCTGTACAAGCTATTTTAAAAACAAGTATTCATTATGAGTTATTTGCCTACATCCACAGAAGTGATCATGTTAGACAAATACCTTAAAGTCAAAGAACATCTGCAGAAAGAAGATGAGGATGTGGTAAACTGGTACGCATCTCCTTTCGGATCCCTCAACTGCTGTAACAGTGTATGCTTCTGTAGCGCAAGATAACAATTGAGCTGTCCTCAACACATTTCTTAACTTTTGATTAAACTACTGGCAAGCTGTTATTTTTCAATATACTTACAAGCACTTTAAAGAATACCACAGTAAAAATACGATTTCCCATTCTACCCGCCTGGGCACTGTGCCCAGGCAGCCAAGAAGGCCAATGGCATCCTGGC